GCGCGGACGTCAGGTCACTGGCAGAGGATCCGACTATGGGGCAAGGGGTCAGGGCACGGAACACGCCGTCACTGCAGCGGGTGGGGCAGACCATGGAGCGTGTGGTCAACGGTGCAGACACGGCGTCACACCGCGTGGGACACGGTGGCGAGAACAAGCACAGCTGGAAAGTGACAACGAAAAGTGATGCGACAGTGCTGCCGGAATAACCATTCTTCCACGATACAGTGAAAACTAGCGATAACCTCGACATATGAAATGAAATAACAAACGACATAAAAAATGAAAAATGTTTTGAAAGCACGCCACATCTGTCATGCCACACCGCCACGCGCGGCTCCTCGGCTACACCGCGGGGCTATGCCGAGGGTCACTGGACCCGCATTCGAACAGGAGACGCAGCTGTCGTCGGAGCCGCTCGACGGCCCTGCGCGCGGTGACCCGCGCCGGGCGCGCGGAGCTCCAGCCCAGCAGCACTCACCTGGGCAGGATGGCCGCCAAGCTGTTGGCCAGGCTACTCCCCGCGCCGCTGAAACCCAAGCGGAGCGGCCTCAGAACAAGCGCCGTGCCGGAGACGCGTCACGCCGCGCCCCAAGCCACGCCCCGTGCACGGCCGACCACGACGCCCCAAGCCAGTACAAGCCCAAGCGTACAGTCAAGCGTACCCCTCGATGTGCGGCCGCCACGCAGCAGCCGCTCCGCCCCAGCGCAAACGCCGCGCCCCAGCACACGAGCTCATGCGGCCGCCGGCCTTACGAGCCCCTGGCGGCAGTCGGCCGAGGGCTGACGAGCGCGCGCGCGCGAGAAGCACTGACCTGCCGTAGGGCGCCGGGCCTCCGTAGCCGGGGGGTGGGACGCTGAGGTTGGCCGGCGGCGGCAGGCGGCGCTCGGCGGCGGGCGGGGCGACGGCGGGCTGCGGCGTCCCGGTGAACCTGCGGCACAAGAGGCACCGGTCCAGAGGCATGCCGCGCGCCGCGAGCGAACGCGCCGCGGCGGCGCCGACTGTCAAGCCCCAGCATCGCACTTCAATGGTGTGGGAGCGTGGCTGGCGACGAAGCGTCGGGCGAGCGAATTCAACTGACACGATGACATCCAGAGATGTCTGCTCGACCCCGGCCAGCTCCACTTGCTTGGCTAGGAGGTGTTGTTAAGCGATCCGAACTGCGTGTGATGCGTCACATCACCGCAGCGGACCGACCAGGCTGGAGGGCCACCCTCGCCCCTCGCAGCCGCCCCGGCCGGGCTGGGGGTCACCTCCGCCCGGCTGGAGGCCACCCCCGCCCCTCGCAGTCCGCCTCACCTGGGGAGTCCGCCGCTCTGACGGTCAAACGCGCCGCGCCGCGCGCCCGCCTGAAGCAGATGCGGACCTCCCGCTGCGGCCGCTGCCGTGCCCGACCACGCGAACCAAGACCCAGTTGTCTATATAACGCTTGTCGTGATGCCCAGGACATGTTACTATATAACGTTGTCGTGATGCCCAGGACATGTCTATATAACGCTGTCGTGATGCCCAAGACATGTTAACGTACGACTCAAAAATTAAATGAACATAAATACAAAAAGAAAATTCACGTGCCGAAGGCATGCCACTATAACTTAAGAAGTCCTCCTTCGTCTTGTGACGTAGTGACCAGGCAAGCAACGCATTCACGAGAAAAAACTAGTATTTCTTCGGTGTATTTTTTTATTGACAAACCCATTTGGTTCGTAAGTCAACGTATGTGGTGTGTAATTAGCTATGTTCTGACTCGAGGGACCCAGCTCATTAGCAAACTTTCATGGCTTGAGTCGGGGTGCCGGATAGCCCACAGAAACACACACTTTGACCGCGGCAGAACTGGGGGGAGAACGCTGGGGAGGGGGTCGACCGCGGAAGGGTTTGACCGCGGCAGAACTGGGGTGAGAACGCTGGCGAGGGAGTTTGACCGCGGCAGGGTTTGACCGCGGCAGAACTGGGGCCGTCAGCGTGGAGGACGCGCCGGCTGCGGAGATAACCGGCCATTCAAAAATGGCCTGTTATGGCTTGAATTGGGGCGCTGGATGGCGCCCAGATGGCATATTTTTGGCATAATATTTTACTTTGACCGCGGAGGAACTGGGGTCATCAGCGTGGAGGACGCATCGACTGGCGGCAATAACCGGCCAGCCGGCTAACAGGGCCGGATTCGTCTCAGGTCATCGCGAAGTTCCGAGATGCACCATGTGCGAAAATGCATGCCATCATCCTGCGGTGTGGAAGGGTACGAGGTGGATTCGAGGGAAAGGAAGATGAAGATGCCAAGCCTAAACCAGCCACCGACCCTGACTAACTGGGAAGACCAGCGAGTGGCTGATTAACTGAACATGCGTGCCGCCCACGCCCTTTCTCCTGCAAGACTGGCCTTGTTCACCGCCAAGCCTTAATACGACCGGATTCGGAGCGAGCATTTCGTGACTCCGAGACGCAGGGCAGGGCGTCAGATTTGGTTCGAATGTCTACCACTGCGCATAGAAAACTACCGCGCACGCCAAATCAGCAGT